CATTTTCTTCCAAAAAAGGCCCGTTTCATATACATTGAATATAGTCTGTAAACTATAGCCGCCTTCTTGTATTATACTCTTTAATTTGCCAGGAAAAGTAGATGCAACGACTTTATCTTCACTTGCTGCTTCTCCACTCTGTGCAATATTGTGTCAGTCGCATCTTTTTTTAAAACTACAAAACCAATCATTGCTGGCTAAAAAGGTTTCATCTTTTGCTTCGTCACCAACTTGTGTCTTTAGATCTTCAAAAATCTGTTTTTCTTGATTGCACATAGTATTTTGGTCAACTGGACAATTCTTGACTTTTACTTGGTTTTCGCACCATACTTTAAGTAAAGATTCCATTTCTGCTATCAAACCATGCCGTTTACGAATTATATTAGAAGTTAACAGCTGAGCATTTTTAACTGCGTCGAGAATTTTACATTTGTCTTTTATTATTGTATACACAGTAGTATAGGATAAATTGTATTTGTTTGCTAATTCTCATGTTTTCAGGCTTTGTTCAAAATTTTTTAAAATCTCATGCTTTATTTCTAATGACAAGGTTTTGCGTTTTTTTGAAAAATTCGAAGAATAGGTATATACTGACTAATTAATCAACTATCTACGAAGAACTCGCATAAACTGAAGGAGCTAGAAAATTTTATGATTCAATCCGCTATTGAGCGAAACAGGGGAATAACCGACAAAAAATATAATGGACAAATTCGTAATTACGTATCTCCGAATTTACGTAAGTCGGGGTATTACTGTATAAGGAAATACATAAATACACATGGCAACAAGAAACAAGACACTCAAATCGATTATAGACTATTGTTAAGGTGGTCCAACACGACTGGTGTACTTGGCAAATATTCGTCTACTCAGATACACTTGCGTAGCGTCTGGGAGCTCTCATCGTTATAGGTATTTTTTATGTTACATGTGAATTAATAATGTAAGGCCAATGTTTACAAGGGCGTCGCCAGAGAGGGGCAGAGGGGGCCACTGCCCCCCCCCCCCCCCCNTATTTCATATATTACTTAAACGTTTTAGGTATTCTATAAATTGCCTAGGTATTGTATAGAATACCGGATTATACAGATTGCCGGTAACATATAGAACAAAAGGTAAACCGGAAACATATTCTAAATCAAATTTATTTATGCATTCTAATAACAGTACGAAACAAATCAGAAAAAAATAATATTATTTTTAGATTTCGTCATTTAAATTGGACGGCTTTATAAAACTGGTGATGGTAGTTTGGCGACATAAATTCTTTTTCTTCTCACCTAGGATTTCTTGCTAGCAGACAATTGATTGTTCTATTTTTCTCTTTACTGTCATAATGCGTTCTTCATTATTATCTGTTTCTTCTAAAACCTTTATACCATTTTGTATGCAATTAAGCCTTTCTGTTAATGTTGCGATGGTTAGGGTATTTTCCGGTTGTGCTGGTTCAACATCACTTTCTTCATCGTCATTTTGTTGTTGCATTTTAATCAGATCTTGCACAGTAAGCACCTCATCATGCGACTCCAAAAGCACAATGACATCTTCATTATTAACTACCAAATCGACTTGTTTTCCTAAAGTAACAATATTTAGTACTACTTCGAGTCGGCGAAAAAGTCCGGGAAAGTTTTTTCCAAACCCCCTTCAGTGTATTTGAGGAAACTTCATCCCACGATTCTTTTATCAATCTAATAGCATCAAGAATATTAAACTTATTCCAAAATTCCTTAACGGATAAGTTATCATCGTGATTCATAGATTCATTTAAACGTCTAAATGATCGTCGAGTATAATAAGCTTTAAATGTTTTTATAACACCTTGATCCATAGGTTGAAGTAAACTAGTCGTATTTGGGGGCAAAAACATTACTTTGACGAGAGGATCATAGTTGATAAGGTTAGCTGCAGAGTGTCCAGGTGCGTTATCAATAATTAATATCACTTTAAATGCGATGTTTTTAGAGGAACAGAACCGTTCAACTTCCGGGACAAAGTGATTTCGAAACCAATCTTCAAATAAAGCAGCAGTAACCTAAGCTTTTCGGTTTGACTTCCAAATTACTGGCAATCCTGATTTGAATTTATTTTTTAGGGCTCTGGGGTTTTGAGATCGATACATCAATAATGGTNAAAAATTAATACACAATAAATATACATCTCGAGTACTGAACAACTATCGAATGGGATGCCATATTTTGATCTGGAAACCAAGGAAGTTCAAGAAGTATTCCTCGGATTCGTCAAACTTGATGCTTTGGATGCGAAATGTATTGCAAAAGCAATAGATGAGTTTTTGGCAGAAGAAGATCTTGATCCGGACAAATGTCCCAGTAAACAATTTGCGTTTCAGAAACATTTCTGATACATATTATTGAAACATGAAATGTTTCTTCGGCATATTTCTGAAACATAGTTGAAACGTGTCTGAAACTGCTAATGTCCGGTCCTTTTTATGTTTCATTGAAACGTTTCTAATGAAACGTTACTGTAACATACAGCTGACAATTACGGTACATTACTAAAATGTTTCATTAATGGTTTTGAATTATTTCTGAAATGTAATAGTTATTTATTGTGTAAGTGTTTTAGACAGCATTTTATTCACGGAAGAATGTTTATGTTTTAATTTTATTAAGTAAATAAAATGCATCTAAAACACCCATGCAATACAACGTTTTATCCACAATCACACGCATTTAGAGTCAGAATCGCCAAAATTTCATCTGATGTTATCAAAAAATGATTTGACATTTCACTCTGACAACGGCTGTCGCCTCAAAAATCATTGCAATTAACTAAAAAAACATTGTGAGGTGTTGAATTGTTGCTATTTTTTTTCGATTGTTTACCGACTCCATTTGTAACATATTTATAAAAGTGTGAAAGTTGTAAAGGTATAGTTGGTGAAAAATGGAAGAAAGTGATATGACAAATCAAACAATGAAATATCTATTAATATAAACGTTAATGTTAATATAAATAATAAATAGGATGTGATTGATTTAAGATTATATTTTTCATTATTCCACTACTATCCGTGCAAAAAGTCAAGGCCCCTCACCTTAGAGATCTATATCTTCGCAACCGTTCGATAAAAAAAATTGCGACAAAGTTTGTTGTAATCACTGAACATTTCTACGTAACATACGATAATTTGAAAATTTTCGGATCCACGGTTTTCTTTTTATCAATTGGAACAGATGGTGCGTTCCAGACAGGACGTCGCGCCTTATTTCTTTATGTAGGTAAGATAAAGGCGCGACGTACTGTCTGGGACATACCATTTGTTCCGATTGGACGGAACCCTCCTCGAAGATATTCCAGACATGTTTCAGACACATTTGTAGAGAAATGTTTCTGCTACATATTTTAACGATATTTCATAAATATTCGTACCGAAATGTATTTGATACATATCTTTAGATACGCTTCGTAAAAATCGTACCTGTCACGTATATGAAACGTAGTTCTAAGATGTTTCATTTAATTTACTGTACATTAAAATTGAAATGTTTCATAGATGTTTCTTGTTTACTGGGGTGTTGGTTTAGGATTTGACGGTTGTTCGACGATGTCCGGGAAAGAAGGTGGTGTGCAAGCAATCCTACGCAGAAAATATAAAAAAGCTTTGTGCTTTCATCAAAGGAAGGTACCATCAAAGATATTATTACATTTTTTCAAGAATCAGTTTTGAGACGCAAATTGATACCAAATATTTCCAAGCTTTGCGAAACAAGGTGGAGCGAGAAACACAAAAATATTAGTGTTTTTAATGAAAATTTTTCTATTATAATGGAGGCCTTTGACACCTCGTCACGGGAAAAAAATAAGAGTAAATAATGCGACTAGAAAAAATACTTATCAGCTCCATGCAGCAGCTTCTAGAGTTTCGTTTATTCTCAGCTTTATTTTGATAGCCAAATACTCGGCTATGATGGAACCTGTTGTAAACGTGCTCCAATCCGTAGCTTTGGATGCAGTTAAGGCGTCCCAGCACATTAGCCGCCTTTTGGAATTTATAGAAAACCACTGTAACGGTCCAGAAAACGTCACAAATGGAATTATTAGGGACGCTACTATCGTTGCAGAAAAACTTGGACTGGGAGAAGACATGAAGTCCTTGCCCCGTATTGTTGAGAGACAACAACATCAGAACAACCACCCAGCAGCAAGCCCCTCAGAATTCTGGCGGAGGTCTTTAATAATACCATACTTAGACTCGATTATTAATTCTTTTCAAGTTCCCTTTTCTGAAGAAAACACCCCGTCAGTTTCCTTATCTAAATTACACCCAGCTCAAATGTTAGACATGTCCCCTGAAGACCTCGTAGAAGCTGGTGAAGTCTTTTCCCAATTTCACAATTTATCAAATATCAACAACGAAATCGAACTATGGAAAAAACTATGGCAAGATAAACCTGACTCAAAAGAATTAAGTGTTGTGGATGTCATAAAAGATGCCGACATTTTTTTCTCTGAAACGAGAAAAGCCTTTATAATTTTGGTCACTTTACCCTGAACGATGTTTTAACAGCTTGAGGACAATAAAACCTGACTTAGAAGCACTATGGCAGAATGTCGTCTTGCCATGATGAGTGAGTATAGGAAGAATATTTTTGAGAACTTTGATGGTTTTATTAATAATCTGGTTGAACAATTCGCGAAGAAGCCACGAAAATTATGTTTTAAACAATTTGGTTTTTTTTTTTAATTTTTTTGTCCCGTCTTCCCTGGCCCACTGGCCGGCGACGCCCTTGAATGTTTACACAAATATTTGCCTACCTGGACCACCTTTAGAGTTACTCTTTTATTTTATGTCTTAATTATAATTTTAAGTTTCATGTAATAAATACTACAAAGTGTTAAAACCCATAATTTTTGTTTTGTATTCCATAATTTGGGACAAATTGTAAAGAGAAATGTATGCCATAATTTGGGACAGAGGGAGTATATATTTATTGAGTTACAAATAACAAAATAAATTTAATAATTTCTTTGTATCCAAGTTATATTTATAGAAATATTAAAGTATTAATAAATAATTAAGTATTTATTATTTTTAGGCATCAAAAAACCCATTAATTTCTTGAACTTTTTCTTGTCCTTCTCCCAAAGTTTTTGTTACTATACTTTCATCAGGAATTGATAACCTATAACAAATAAAATAAACTAAATTTTTTTTTATTATCTCATATTGTTTCATACTTTTTATGGTCCTTAGAATTATTATGAATCTTTTGATGGACAATCAAATTGTATTTTTCTGCAAAACTTTTATTACAAATCTGGCAAAAAAATGTTTTTTCACCACTATGAACCTTTTTGTGCCTTTTTAAATGGCTTGTTGAGTAAAACTTCAAATCGCACACTTCACATGTAATATTTTTAAGACCTTTATGTCGTATTTTGTGTTGTCTAAACGAAGAATCATGAACAAAAGTTTTTCCACACAAGTCACATTGAAATGGAGCCTCTCCGGTATGTAGTGGTATATGTCGTATTAAATTAATCTTTTGTGTAAATGATTTATTGCAAAATTTACATGTAAATGGGTTTATTCCATTATGCATGCCTACATGAACTTTTAAAGATTTTTCCCTTTTATATGAAACACCACATATTTCACAAATAAATTCTTTTAACTCTTTATTATTAACTGGAAGTGGTAATGAAATATTTGAGATTATTTCTATGTGTTTTAAAGGCAACTCTGGTTTATGTGGTTCATTTTTAACAGCTTCTATTTCTTGTGTTTCTTCCGTTGAACAGATTTGATCGTTTTTGGAGATATTTGTTTGGTTATTTGAGGATTTCTGTAGATATTGTTTAATTCTTTCACATCCCATTCGATAATTCTCCCTAAATTTATCCAATTCATTTAATAAATTAAAACAAATCGAACACACACAACTTTCTCCCAATTCAAATTTATTCTCGGTCACAATTTCAATAAAATCTTTTAACGTTAACTTAGAATATTTTGTATATGTCGAGGATATTTTAAAAGAATTTTCATTTTCGCAGATAAAATCACAAATTTTGCACTTTTCATCCATTTAAATCGTTTAATTTAATTTATTAAACTTTTAAAAAATCAACTTAACCTCAAATTTGTGATTGGCTTTAATCAACGATTTTACATTTATTTATAATGCGTTGCCAAGTATTTATTATCTCTCTCAAACACTAAATACTTCATTTATTCTATCTCACTCATATCTTGGATTCACCTAAAACTAACTTTCTTAATCTAACCATATACTAATATAACCTCAAAATAATTGACGTAAACGACGTTGTTTGTTTCCAAAAACCTTTTAAAACTTTAAAGTTGATTGAAAATATGCCTGAAACGTTAACAAAGGAGCAAAAAATGTTTTTAGAAGAATGTGAAAAGGAATTTGCAGATAGATTTACAGAGAAAGACCTTGAATTCAAGAAGATTTTTGATTCTGAGATTCCACCACCTCCGATTGTGTGCCCATGGACTATTAACAGAAGAGGAGCCAGAAGACACCAAAGCGACGGAGCGAGATCGCATTCAAATCATAATTGGAATGATAATAGAAGTAGAGAACGCAGTAGTAATTATAGAAAAAGAAATTATAATGAAGCTTTTGATAGTCGTGATAGAAGGTATTGACTTAAAATTGTATAAAATCATAAATGTGGTTATATTTTTATTCATTTTTTGACTTATGTAATTGACAAATAATAAATATATGAAGCTTTTTATGTTTACGATTCAGTTGCTCAATTTAAGAACATCTTTATCTATACAGATAAGGGCATTAATTCTCAAACTGATAAATGAGGTATGTTTTGGAATTTGATCAAATCAATAGTGTTATTTTAAAGTGCTTGTTTAAACATTTTATGTTGCTTCAGTGTAATATAATAACATACCGTTTATTAACAAAGTTAAAATTAACGAAATATAATATAAAAGCACCTAAATTAACTAATAATGAGTATTTAACCTATAAAATAACGATTTAAATTAATAAAATATCAAACAAGCAGTGATTTTTAATTTTAAAGGTTGGTTACAATTCAAAATCAAAATTTCAATAAACCCTAATAAAATCTACTGATTTAAATTAATTTAAGATAAAATTAGCTACTTATATTATTACAAAAATTAATATGTATCAATTTAAACCAAGAATTTTAAAAAATTACGTTTAAAATCCGTATTAATCTGTAGTAATTTTAATTTTTTGGTGTTGGTAGTAATAGTCTGTCAAATTCTCGTCAAATCCCGGATTACATGTAGTTTTTTAATCGATTTTCGTGTCCAAAACCCCGCAAACAACAACCGCGAAATGTTTGGAGACGCTTTTAATTATATAGCGTACGATAATCCGTTATCGAAGGGGGTAGTAATGGCAGCCAAGAGCACATATTCGGTTATAAAATCTCACTTCACATCAGTTTGTAATAATATTGTGTTGACTCTTTTAGATACTGACTAACAGCAGAGAACCGGTAACTACAATAAGAGTTATCACTGAAAAAGTATCATTACACGAACAAATGGCGCAACATGGTCCAATTTTAAAGATTGCTGGAGCTATGGGAGCATTCGCTGTCGCGCTTGGAGCGTATGGGGCACACAAAAAATATCCCAAAGATCGAATAGACGAGTTAAAATCAATTTATGAAACGGCAAATAAGTTTCATTTCTTTCATACACTTGCTTTATTTGGGGTACCTTTTTCTAAACAACCCAAAGTAGTAAGTATTTAGCTATTTTGTCAGGTTATTTTTTAATCGAGTCATTGTTTTTAGACTGCAACTTTATTCGTTGTTGGAATTACTTTATTTTCTGGACCATGTTATTATAGGGCTTTTACAGGAGAAAATAAGTTTGGTAAACTTGCTCCTGTTGGTGGATCTCTTTTGATTATAGCTTGGTTATCATTTATGATTTAAAAGGGAGAAGGGTTAGAAATTTATAAAGATCTGCGAGTTCTTTTATTATACCTTTTCTTTTTTTAAGTTAATTTAATTGATAAGGAAAAATTAAAATTAGAATTGTGTAAAAGTGAATAAAGGAATGGAATGTTATTGAATAATTTATGACTGTGTTTCTTATCAATCAAACCTTAAAGAATGGAGGTAAGAGAAATTTTTATAATTGAGTGAACAACCTTATTTTTATGTACTACCATAAGAATGGTAGTCATTTAAATTTACTTGTAAAGAAGCCCATCTTTGGGGCACTTTAGAATTAATAAAGTATTTGAATCTGCACAATATGAAACAAATTGAAAAGAAAGATTGATGTTACATATTAGAATTTCATCTTTAATATATCCCAACACTAATAAGGGACAAATTATAATCAAATAATACACTAAAATGATATGATTCAGGTCACTATATACATAAGAAGATGGATAGTTGTGTTGACACCTATTTATCATCCATTATGGTTCTCAAACCACTTTTTGTAGCATTGGAAGTTTGAGGAAAATTAGGATCATGAACATTTTTACACACTTATGTTTGATAAAATGAGTCATTAGCAAGGACACCTATTTAAAGGGAGGATTTAGGGGGTTGAAACGATGTTACGAAGTCATTTAACTTTCAAAATAAAAAAATTGCCTAAGCAAATAAACAGAGGCTGTGAGCCCAAGGTTTATAGAACATAAGGTTACCTCATTCCCTATGCCTCTGTAGTATCGATTATTACCCCGCAAATTGACGTCACTGGTTCGATACAGTCAGAATAAAAGATAGATACGTGCCAACGCAAGGTCTATAGAACATAAGGTTACCCAATACCGATTCTCCTCCTCTGAGAGGCAAGGTGGGTCAGTGACGTAGCTGGTTCTATGAACAACACAACGCCCTTGTTTATAGATATATCTATAAACAAGGACAACACGATGCGAGGTTTAAATATTTTATATAGACTGTACCACAGTATAGGCACGTTGGCACCGTTGGCACCAAGGTTTATAGAACATAAGGTTACCTCATTCCCTATGCCTCTATATCTATGATATCAGGCGTGGTTGTCGGTCTGATACTCGTGGAATCTTGAATTGGAGAGAAACAGGATTTATAGGTTTTTAAAGCATCTTGAGTTTTGTAAACCGATCCCGTGGTTGGTCTACATCAGTGATGGAACGGTTAGCGATTTTGCGAAAAGTCGGATTCCGGTTATCCGGCATATCTATCCGGGCATTATGGTTATAATTTGAATTATGGATATTTGAATAAAAACTTCAAATTGGCGAAAATTGTAAAATTCGAAAAAATTGTTGATTATTTAAAAAATTTATTTCTCAAGAACTGAAAGTGATTTTTCAGAACGGCGTTTTGCATTAAAAAGAGGATACTTTAATTAATAATTGGTGACATTTCCACAAGAACCTTCAAGAAATTAATTTTACAGCAAATTTTGAAAAATAATCGATAAAAATTGCAACATCGAAAATTTTATCAAAATTTCAAAGATTGTTTTCTTAAAAACTAAAAGTTATTTTTCAAAACGGGTTGGTTCATTGAAAAGAGGACACTTTTATTGACACTTTGGGAAATTTTCCTACTCCTATTCCAAGAACTGGATTTTATACGAATTTTTAAAGCTTAATCGGCGAAAATTGCAAAATACGAAAAAATTGTCGATTATTTCAAAAATTTATTTCTCAAGAACTAAAAGTGATTTTTGTTGCATTAAAAAGAGAATACTTTAATTAATAACACTATTTACACGTGTTGATTCTGACTCTGTCTTCAGTTTTTCTCTATCACGTCCAGTTTTCGAGATATACCCAAAAATGTGAAAAATCGTAAATTAAAAAACATAGTAACGGTTCATGTTGAGTATATTTTTTATTTTACATAGTGTGCTTCTGTAGCTATATGGACACGAAAGTAGAGATCCAGACGAACATTTTGAGGCATTGATGGTATAAATCGGACTCTCCGTTATTTTGCTACAGCCTAAAACAACTCAACAAAATCAAATTTTTTAGCATTTTTCCCATTATTTATCACTTAATCGCACCGTAACGAAAAAGAATGATATATGAGCAAAAAAGTTAGCTATTCTGTCCTGTAGAACATTTAATTCTCTAAATTTAGAAGCATTGGACACCATGGTCGAATGTATTTTACCGGATATATAGTTAATTTACGACAATCGTGCAAAATTTCATTTTTTGCCATATTTACTGTTATTGAACCATTATTACGAACAATTTTTTTAATAAAGAGGTGTTTTACTCTTCCAGGCACTAAGTATAAACATTAAATTCACTGAAATAAATATTATTATTTTTTAAATACAACAAACAATAACCTTCAAAAAAGAAAAAATTTTGTAAGAACTCGTGCATTTATCTGTTAGACCTTTTTTGGCAAAAGAAATTTTCATTGTTAAAAAACAATCACTTTCTGTGAAAAAGTGTTTTTTAATAACTTCACTTCTTTATATATTAGAACCTTGTTCTGCTAAACAGTCTTTTTTCGAAATATTTTTTGGTATAAAAGGAGAATATATTGTCATAATATTTAGTTCTTCTTGAGACACCTCAGTGATCTTTCGTTTAAGAAAATAGCAAAGTGTTGTAAAAGTTTTGTTGATAATGGCTAGCAGCAGCAGAAGTTTTGAATACAAGAACAATCCTGATTTGTTCTGTTTTATTTGCAGACAATACATTATTGGGCTGACGAGACGACCAAATACAAACTGTTATAAAACAGGCGTATTCTCATTATTTTGGGTTTGCTTTGACGAATTTAGACAAGCCCTGGACACCCAGCTTCGTATGTCCGAATTGCGGTATAACTTTGAGTAGATGGATAGCGGGTGAATCTACATCTCATTTACAGTTTGGTATTCCAATTTATGGTCACAGATATCAGATCATTCCGATTGCTATTTCTGTAACATAAACCTAGACGGCATAAACAAAAAACAAAGAAAAGTTTGGTTTATCCTAATGTAAGATCAGCCAAAAAGCCGATTCCGCACAGCGAAACTTTACCAAGACCAAATCCTCCTGACCCATTAATGCAATCCAGTGAAAGTGATCAGAGTAAAGGAGAGTGAAGATATGTCATCTAGCAGCGACTATGATGCCAAAATAAACCATAGACTGTCACAGAAAGAACTAAGTGACTTAGCTAGAGATCTGAAGTTGTCGAAGATTGATAGTGAGAAAACAATGGAATTATTTACACCTTACAACCCGTGTAACTGTTTATCGAAACAGAGGTGAAGATTTGTACAATTTTTTACAAAAGAACAAAATATTTGTTATTGTAATAACGTGCAGAGACTGTTTGATGAATTGAAAATAGATCATAACCCAAGTGAATGGCGTCTTTTTATCGATAGCTCTAAAAACAATCTTAAAGCAGCTTTACTTCATAATGGAAACACACTACCAACTATTCCACTTGCTCATGCCGTCACTGTTAAAGAAACATATGTGCGCATATCAGAGATTTTGACTCTAATTCAGTATAACGCATTTGAATGGAAAGTTTGTGCAGATTTAAATTGCCGCAGTAAAGAAATTTACTAACTTCTACTTTTTAAGTATTGACTTACATTTCTATGATTTTCAGGTAATTGCTGTGGTTACTGGCTTACAAGGCGGTTTTACAAAATATTGCTGATTTCTTTGTTTGTGGGATAGCCGAGCGAGAGAGCATCATTATGTGCGCAAAGACTGGCCTTCTAGATAACATTACGATACTGGTGCTTTCAATGTCTTAAATAAGCCTCTGGTGAGACCAGCATCTGTAATATTGCCTCCACTACACATTAAATTGGGTTTGATGAAAAACTTTGTGAAAACGTTGAATCCAGAAGGCCCAGCTCTTTCCACAACTATCGTACGCTAAACTAAAAGAAGGCATATTTGTTGGCCCTCAAATAAGAAAATTAATAAATGACAACGAATTCATGTCAACGTTAACAACAAAACAAGCAACGGCGTGGATTAGGAAACCATAAGGATGAGAATTATCGCGAAATAATTTTCAACTTATTGCACAATTACGAAGCCATAAATGCAAATATGTCGCTCAAAATCCAGTTTCTCCATCCGCACTTAGATTTTTTTCCAAGCAATCTTGGAGCGGAAAGTGACGAACAAGGTGAGCGATTCCATCAAGACTTAATGACATTGGAAAGACGTTATCAATGTTACTAGGACGCGATGATGGGAGATTATCTCTGGAGTGTTATCAGAGAAATCGACCCAGACATACAAAAAATTGTCGAAAAGTAATCATATCCCGCACTATACCAACAATAAGTAAAGTAGTATATATTAAACATAAAATTTAATTCCATAAAAGTTCTGTATATAATTTGTAATATAAACCCAGACAATAGAAATAAAAAGACAAAGAAAAGTTTGGTATCGTTTGTAAGATCAGCCAAAAACCCGAGTGCGCATAGTGAAACTCTGCCAAAAGCAAATCCTCCTGACCAATAAAAACAATCCAGTAAAAGAGTAAAAAAAAGTTATAAGAGTAAAAGTGACAGTGAAGAAATGTCATCTACCAACGACTGCCAATAAATTTTAATTACTTACTAACATAACATTTAGAACAGGTAAAATTGTATTGATTTCAGTGAATTTAATGTTTATACTCAAACCTGTTGGTTCATTGAAAAGAGGACACTTTTATTAACACTTTGGGAAATTTTCATACTCATATTCCAAGAAATGGATTTTATACGAATTTTTAAAACTTCGGCGAAAATTGCAAAATTCGAAAAAATTGTCAATCATTTCAAAAAATTTTTTCTCAAGAACTAATAGTGATTTTTTAAAGCGGCTTTTGCATTAAAAAGAATATACTTTAATCAATAATTGGTGATATTTACACAAGGATCCCTCAAAAAATTTATTTTATAGCGAATTTTGAAAGTTATCGATGAAAATTGCAACATCAAAAATTTTATCAAAACTTCGAACATTGTTTTCTCAAAAACTAAAACCTATTTTTCAAAATGGATTGGTTCATTGGAAAGAAGACACTTTTATTAATACTTTGGGAAATTTTCATACTCATATTCCAAAAAATGGATTTTATACGAATTTTTAAAACTTAATCGGCGAAAATTGCAAAATTCGAAAAAATTGTCGATCATTTCAAAAATTTATTTTTCAAGAACTAAAAGTG